TGACAATGGGAGAAAACAAGGACAAAAACCGGTGTGTATGAAAGGACTGTCTTTGCTTCTAGGATTATGTCTTTCTTCCATTTTTTGTCTAAAAGTAACATTTTTAAAAAACAAAATGATGGCGATTGTACATGATATACTTTGTTCCATGTCCTTGCTTTTGGCAACGTTGACAGTTGGCATCTCTAGTCCGTTCTCAAAAAATTGTTTTTGGAAATTTTATTGGACTACGAAATTCCAAAGTCCGGGACACACCGTGATAGATGACACAAGAGAATAATAAGACCAGGGTTAGAACCACAAACTCCAAGGGTGAGGAGGGCACTAACGCATCTAGTCCAATCTCCCTTTGACACCTAAGTGTGTGCTAGAACATCCTGCCAAATGCCTGACAGGCCCCCTGCTTGGTTCCCATCGGTGACAGGCAGCTCACTATCTCACGGGGGCACCCATTCTCTCTGTGCACGGCTCTAATGATTAGAAAGTGCTTCCTTGTATTGTCCTGAGACCTGTGTTCTTGGACAAGGGCCTATGCCCTGGGGCCACCTAGAGTGAAGTGTTTCCTCTTCCAAGGACAGCCTTCACCTTCATGGAAACGGGCTCCATGCCCCACTCCATCCCCACCCAGTCTTCTTTGGCTGTGGTCTGTTTGTTCCTTAGCTGTTTTTGCCCCACCCCAGTCCCCAGGCATTCCTCTTGTGAAGTGACTTGCCCAAGATCATATGCCTAGCAAGTGAATTCAAACCCAGATCTTCAGTTTCTGGCCCAGTGCCCCATCCCCTAGCTCTCTGGATGTGGCAGTGGCTCTGTGTCCTAAATTCATGAAATGGTCCTGGCTGTTCAAAATCAGTTGGAAAGAAACCAAAAAAAAAAAAAAAAAGCAACATACTGAAAAGTCAATGTGATCCCAATAAAAATTTATATATCTGCATAGAAAAACGTCTGGAAGGAAATATGCCAAAATGGTCATAGTGGTCATCCGTTGGAAGTGGGCTAATGGGTGATTTTTATCTTATCTTTGCTTTTCTGTATTTTCCCAGTTTATCCACAATGAACTGGATTTTATTTGTGTAATAGAATAAAATAAAGACCATTTAGAAAGACAAAATAAGAAAAGTAAAATTAAAAGACGTACTGTCCAAGACCCCATTTCCGTTCCCACCCACTTTCCTCTGGACAAGCTCTCAGGTGTCTGGTGCTCCAGAAATGGCCCCAGGTCCTGGCTCAGCTCTGTGGGCAGGGACTGTAGGCTAGGGAAGAATGAGCCTCCAAAAAGAAAAAAAGAAAAAAAAACCCAAACCCGTTGCCATTGAGTCAGTTCTGACTCATACCAACCCTGTAGGACAGAGTAGAACTGTCCCATAGGGTTTCCAAGGAGCAGCTGGTGGATTCAAACTGCTGACCTTTTGATTAGCAGCAGAGCTCTTAACCACTGCACCATCAACACCTCTATACTCACTGCGCTGTAATGCTGCCCGAGAGTCCTGCTGCAGCAGGCCGGCAGCTGTGGGTTGCCAAATGGTGAGCCCACATCCCCCAGACTGCAAACCACCAGGCCGTTTCCAGCCGTGCTGTTGGTCAGCCCCATCTCTCCCGTCCTCAAGCAAGGTTCTTCTCAAGCCTTCTGTCCCCCACCCCCACCCCCACCTGCTCCCTGAAATGGCAGAGAGGAGGGGTGGGGAGCATAAAGAAAGGTGCAAGGACCATGGCTCCCAGCCCAGCTCCTTTACACATCAAGGGTGTGCACACTGTCTTACAGACCAGAAGACGCACACTTGGAGGTCAGATGTGACACAAGTGGAATGTGACAGAGCCGGGACTAGACCCCAGCTCTTCTGATCCTGGCCCAGTGCTTGCGCCTTTGGGACTAACTGAGGCAGACTGTTGCTGAACTAGGTTGCCTGGGTCCCCTTGGAGTGCTGGGGCCACGGTGTCACCCGACAATGTCCACACCCACCTCCAAGGCAGGTCTCGTACCTCAGCCAAGCCCTGATTGGAAGGCGAGCCTGGCCTGGGAGGCGGAGACCTGCCTGCACTCTAGCTCTGCACACTGGGCCCTGGCAAGTCACTTTCCTCTCTGGGCCTCGGTTTTCCTATCAGGCTGGGGAGCATTTGATGGGAACTGAATTGAGTGGTCTCTAAGTTTCATTCCAGTCTAACATTCAGAGGTGCTGGCACTGACAGTGACAGCACCCCCCACCCCAGGTGTTCTGTATGTTTCTGTAATGATCTCAAATCCCATAAGGTATAAGGCACTATTATGCTTTCAAAATACATATGTATAAGCTCTCATAATATGAACTTAGAAATATATCTACCTTGTGAGGTTCTCTAACATTAACTATAAGTCATTAGAAACCTGTAAGTCTTAAGAAAGTTATTTAGAAAATTTCTGAACTTAGACATAGAAACATAGACACTTGTGAATTACGTAAAGAACATAAATAACCTTTAAGTTCACTTTGACCCGGCATACTGTGACACAAGAAAACATAGCAGAAATCTAAACAGCCGCCCTAGTCTCTAACCTTGAAGAAAAGATACGTCATCTGGCTACTCTCTAACCCTGGAGAAAAGACATAACATACTACTAGTCTTTGACATCACTCTGGCCCTTGTCATGTGGAGCCAAGGTGACAAATTCACATATAAACCCTAAATTTCTGCTCACTCAGTGAGAGAAGACAGAGATGAGATTCTGTCAGCCGCCGCCAACCTTGGATCCTGTCTATGAGAGACCTCCTCCAAGTTCAAGCCGTGGTTAAGTCTTCTTCTCAAGACCTCTTGTTAAAAGTAAAAGCCTGGAGTCTCAAGATTTGGATTCTGACCATTGAACTAACACGGTAATTGTTATTGTTAATTCTGATTGTCTGACTCTAAATGAATGTCTTACTTGCAAGCCTTACCACGACTACCCTGCAATAAACTAAACGAGTTTATGCATGACAAACCTGAGTATCTCTCTGTTACTTTTCTATGATAAAATACCACACAGCACGGGAGGGCAGAAGCATGCCATTAGCCCTGGCTGACTGCCTCTCAGCCCAGGCTCCATGGTAGGTAGTCCAGGTCTGAGAGAAGCCCAGCCACGCTATGTGCGCATGCTTGAGCACATGCATGTGTACAGTGTGTGTGAATGTGTACAGAGGTGTGCATGTGTGGGTGTGGGGACAAGTGGGTGAGTGGGTGTGAGTAGGGGGGCTAGAAGGACAGTCCCCATGTTGTTTCTGGTGCAGGCACATGCTCCAATCATTTCTCCTTTCCTAGGACTCCCCTTCTTTCCACTCCAAGGCCCCAGTTTCTCCAGCTGCCCTCACCCCACTGTCACATACACCCTTTCTCGTTCTTTGGGCGCCTCAGTCCCTGCCTCTAGTTTAAGCCTCAGCTTTATGTTCTTCTCTTTCTCTGTCTCTGCCCTTGCACAAGGCCTGCCACCCAGGAGGGACCATGTGGCCATTTGGTGAAAGCCCCCCTTCCATATCTCTCCCTCACAACACACCCCGCCCCCCATCCCTGGCCCTCTTTCAGGAGGTGCCCACAACTCTCAGAGCCCATCTTGTACCAGACAGAAAGGAAGATGAGCCATCACTGCATAATGACAGATTCAAACCATTATTCTGCCGAGATCTGAATGAAAAATAAGAGCAACTGACACTGCTGTGATTTGTTAACCTGACACGGCCCTCTGTGCATTGCACAAATTTTAATTAAAGCTCAGGAGTGATTTGGAAGCCCTTTTACTGTGTGCCTCTGGGCTCTTCCAGGCTGCCCTGGGGGAAGGGCAGGGTTTCTTCACAACCTTCCCGACAGGGACATGGCTCAAAGGATTGTCCCTGAAGGATGGGCAGGGAAGGGGAGGGGGCGCTGACTATGTAGGCAGATGCAGCATGTCAGGGTGCGAGGAGCCTTGGAGCACATAGGGAAACCCCCAGCCACCCCACCACTCCACCCATTTTACAGGGGAGAAAACCGAGGCCAGAGAAGTGGCTTGCACAGAACTCACCTGTTCCAAAGGCAGGGTGTGTGTCCTGGTTGTGTGGGTTGTGGGATTCAGCCCAGGAAAAATGGGGAAAGACAGAAGGAAACCTGGGCATTCAACTCCCGGCTCTTGTCTAGCAGGAACCTCTGCCTCCAGGAGGACTGGAGAAATGGAGTAGGAGAGAAAGAAAGGGGAGCCAGAGCAGAAATGCAGTGTCCTTCATGCCCATAGTTCCCCGAAGATGGAAGAAGGCAGGCAGGGAGGACAGTCCCAGGGCTTCAAGTCTCGCTCCTGGCTTCTTAGGGAAGAACCTGCAGGAAGTTCTAAGTCCTTCCAGGAAATACAGGGGTCAGCAGCCCTAGTACACTGTGGCAGCCTAAGCAGAAGAGCAGGGGGCTGAGGGGGGCAGGCAGTGGCTTGAGGGAGCACCCTGACTTCCCCAAGGCCCCAGTTGTTCTGCAGGGGATCCCCACCTTCCCACTTGCTACAGCGGGGAGCACCAAAGAAAGCAGAGGGAGCTGGCTGGTGCAGTCGCCGCTGGGGTGAGGGATCAAGTAAATGGTTAGCAGACAGCTGTAGGGTGGCTGAGGCTCAAAGGAAATCACAGGTGGGCCTGGGAGGGTCCATTGGCAAGGCCAGCCAGCCTCCACCTGAGTCCTGACTCACCTTCTTCCAGCTGGGAGACCTGAGCAAGTCACAGCCCCCTCTGCACCTGAGTCTGTCACCTGAACAACAGTGGGAGTCATCACACCTGTCCTGCCTCCTGAGACTGAAGCAAGGGTGGAACGAGGCCAGGTACATGTGAAACGTACTTGGAAACTGTGACATGCGGGGCCCTCTGCCTGGAGGTTCAAGAGCACCCCACCCGACCTGGGTTGAGTCTCTCAGCTGACCCATCCCACGGCACCGAGAACCCGCCTCTCCCCCTCCCCACTTCACTCTCCCCTCCCAGCAGGCATCTTGCATCCTCAGTAGATGCCAGTGATCCCAATCCCGGCCCACCCCACCATCATGGCCTCACCCTCAGGGCCGGCAGGGAGCTGACCTGGTCTGTGGTCAGCGTGGCCTCCTTGTAGTACTTCCCAGGGGGGCAGAGCTTCAGAAAGGTGTCATGGATGCTAAGAAGAGATAGGCATGATGGGGGTATGACCGGGGAATGGAGACTAGCAAGCCCCCTCCCCTGAGGGGCTTTCCTTGGGAAAGGGGGACTCAGGAGTTGCTTGACACAGAAAAGACAGTAATAAATCATTCCACCCATCTGCAAACATCCCTGAGACTCTAGGGTGCCCGGCACTGGGCTAGACACCCACCGTGGGGGTGCAGAGATGACCCAGGCTTGAGGAAAGTCACAGGAATGTGTTCCATGTCCTAGACACGCTCCATAGCATCAGTCATAGGATGTCAGAGTCCAGAGGGACTTCTGTGGGCCCTCTGTCTGTCCCTCATTCACAAAGTGAGAAACCACTAGGGTCTGGGGGCAGCCAGGGTGTCACCTCAGGCCATCTGCCTGGCCTGCCCCCAGCCCAAAGAAGCAAAGAGGTCATGCAGTGGCTGTGGCAGAGCCAGGATTAGAGCCCCGCTGCCTGCACCCAGCAGACCACACGGCCGCCCATGGTCCCCCGGCATCAAGCTGAGCAGTCTCCCTAATTGTTCTTACAACGCATGTCTCGGTCTGCAGACCCCCATCCCAGAGTCTGGAGCTGTGCTTGTAACAGCAAACGCCCGTGTGGCCCCTGAGAGGGCAAGGGCGGGAGGGAACTCTGCCTCTATGCTCCCCACCCACCCTGGACACAGGTTCCCACCCACCAGCGGGCTCTGTAGGACCAGTGGACCAAGACAGCCAGTGGAGAGGAGACAATGGCCTCAGACCCAGACATCATCGTCCTCCACCGCCACGGAGGGGCTGTGTGACCTCTGGCAACTCACTTCACACCTCTGATCCTTAGTTTCCTCCTCCAGAAGGAGGGTGGGAGTTCACTTGACTGTGAAAGGCTTTGTGTGTACGTGTGTGTGCATGCACGTGTGTGTGCATGTGTGTATGTGTGTACATGTTGTGGGAGGGGGCTGTAACCACAGGCTGGTTAAAAGCACAGTCTCTAGAGCCAGACAGACCTAAACTCAAATCCAGACTCTGCCACTTAATAGCTCAGAGATCGTGAGCAAGGTACTGAATCCATCTGCACCTCAGTCTCCTCAGCTTTGCAATAGGGTAATAATCTCCTTTCCCAAGTGTATGAAGATTAAATGCTAGTGCCTGGCATGTAAGAGTGCTTGGATTATATCAGCCCTCAGAGGTGACCCCGAGCCTTCCCACTTCCCTGTGTCCCTGTCCTAAACCCCAGATGCCACTGTGCCCTCCGACTGTCCAGAAGTCAGATCTAGACTGTGATGGTGGAGGCCTCTCACCTACCCGAGGCCTGCCCTCACCTCCTCGTATGGTCCTTCAGGCTCTAAAATGACTACTTCCTCCTTCACTCCTTCCCTAGCCCTCTCCTCTAATCTAAACTTCTAATCTCAGCTGAGTGTTAGGAGGCAAGAAAGCTGATAAAACTAATTCATACACAGGCGTGAGTGGCTAACAGTCACTCCACAGACACTCTCAGGGTATTTGAATGCTAAAACAGGGGACTTGTTAACCCAAATGGACCTCGGATAGGTAGAGTTTAGGGACCCATGACTAAGTGGAGCGTGATTTTATGGTTGATGATAGAGAAGGAGGCCCTCCTAGGACCCTTTACACCGAGGTCCAACACCAGGGGAACTCAGAGCCACATTCTACTCCCCTTCTAGCCACTCATCTTTTCACAGCTCACTGACTAAAAAAATGTCCTTTAGATCCCAGCCTTGGAGCAATGGAAAGGAAATAAGCTCCTTATTCTGCTTGCCCATGGCCCTGCCCAGACCCTGCTCTGTGCCCTGCAGGCTGGTCTCTACCCAACCTGCATCCTCCCACTCCCTGCCCTCTGGCTCCCAGGGGACTGAAGGTGGTGAGAGAGGTGGGGTTATTGCTCCCAGCCCTCGCAGCCTCAACACCATTCTGGCAAAGTCCATGTCCCCCACGCCAAGCAGTGGCTTCCACAGCTCCATCCTTTACTGGGAACCTCAGAACTAACTGTTGCCATCGAGTCCACTAATGGAGTGCCTAACCGTTTGCACCACCCAGGCGACCGACCTATTTCAGGACCGCTGTTGTTACTTCTGACTCATGGCAACCCTACGTGTGCAGAGTAAGTCTGCTCCATGGTGTTTTCAAGGTTGTGACCTTTTGGAAGAAGATGGCCAGGCCTTTCTTCTGAGGTGCCTCTGGGTGGACCTGAACTGCCAACCTTTTGGCTAACAGTAGAGAGCTTAACCATTTGCGCCACCCAGGCGATCTACTTCAGGACTAGGAAGAGGTAAGGGCTAGTCCTTGGGTGCCTCAACGTTCCTTGAGGTTTCCCTCAGCTTCTGTGAATAGTTCCTTTGTTAGAAAGTATCTTCAAAGACCCCAACTGAGTATGCCGCCTGCTTTCCGCTGTGATAATGACAGACTCAGAGCCAGGCAGACCCTAGTGGAATTCTGATCCCCCTACCCACCAGCTGTGTGGCCTGAGGCAAGTTGTTTGCCCTTTCTGAGCAGGCAGATCTAGGTTCAAATCCTGACTCTGTCCAATGGGGAGATAATCCCCATTAAATGATCCTGTGCTGCCTCATGAGAAGGGCCTGACAGGTGGAACCTGGAATACTTCATGAGATTCATGGGTAGTGCCATGACTACCTTGAAGGGGCCCTGAGCTGTCACCAGAGGCTCTGCTTCTCGGCAAGTTTGTGAGGGAGCGAAAACCAGGGTGTGGAGTCGAGGGTGGGGATGGGGAGACCATCCCCAGACAAGATCTGAGGGGGCACTTCAGAGCAGCAAGGAGGAAGGGAAAACCATCATCAGTGGAGCACCCAGAGGCACACCACAATACGGGCTGCGCTGGGAGTGGTCTGCCCCAGCCAAAAGAGTATCATTTTATTACTGACATTGTTAGAACTGTTGGTGTGGGGTGATAATAAAAAGAGACTAACTTTTAGTAAGTGTCATTAATTTTAAAAATTTCTCTCAGACAACGCACCCCTTGGCCTCACCCAGGGCAGCCCTCTCCTGAGGAGCCCACAGCAGTGCGTCACTGGGAGTGCCCACTGCACCCTGCCGCTCCACGAACAGTTTATACGTGACCCGCGTGACAGCCCTGCAGGGAAGGGCCCACTGCCTCCATTTTGCAGATAAGGACACTGAGGCCCTGGAAGTAGAATAACTTGCCCAAGGTCACGCAGCAGAGAGTGTTAAAGCCAGAGCTTCAGACACCAAATCTCCTTCCCCCGGGAGCCCAGAGAACGGCCATCCTGGCAGGACCGCTGGGGGAAAGAAGGAACTCCCCACTGCTGTGCTGCCCCCACTTCTCATGTGCGGGATGCACCCAGACACATTGCTGCACTGGGTCTTCCCAGCACTCCCTGTGGGAGACTTGTTGTTGTTGTTGTTGTTATTGTTATGTGCCCTCAAGTCCGTTCTTACCTATAGCGACCCTACAGGTTTCCTATAGGAAACCACCATAGGGTTTCCAAGGAGCAGCTGATGAATTCAAACTGCTGACCTTTTGGTTAGCAGCCTGAGCTCTTAACTACTGCGCCACCAGGAGAACTGTAGAGTGATACACTCCACAGGTGCACAAACTGAGGCTCAGAGGGGCTAATGGGCATGCAGCTAGAAAGAGGCTATGGGCGGTTGTCATGGATTGAATTGTGTCCCCACAAAATATCTGTCAACTTGACTAGGTCATGATTCCCAGTATTGTACATGATTGTGTAATCTGATGTGATTTCCTTATGTGTTGTAAACTCTATCACTATGATGAGGTTATATGTGATCTCCTTATGTGTTGTAAACTCTATCATTATGATGAGGTTATACTGATGATGTCTACAAGATTAGATAGTGTCTTAATGCAATCTCTTCTGAGATATAGAGAGAAGCGAGCAGAGACACATGGAAACCTCATACCACCAAGAAAGCAGTGCCGGAAGCAGAGAGTGTCCTTTGCACCTGAGGTTCCTGCACAGAGAAGCTCTCAGACCAAGGGAAGATTGATGAGAAGGCTGAAACAGAGAAAAAGCCTTCCCCTGGAGCGGATGCCCTGAATTTGGACTTTTAGCTTACTTGACTGTGAAGAAATAGATTTCTCTTTGTTAAAGCCATCCACTCGTGGTACTCTGTTAGAGCAGCACTAGATGACTAAGACAGAATTTGGCAACGAGGATGGGATGCTGCTCTAACAGACACCTAAAATCGGTTTTGAAACTGTGACTGGATAGAGGTTGGCAGCGGCAGAGAACCAGCAGTGGCAGAGAACCTGCAGCAGCAGAGAAGGGGCAGTGACAGAGAACCAGCAGCAGCAGAACCAGGAGACCGGTGCGAGACGGTGCTGGAGCCGACCCACGGAGCGAGAGAGCTGAGTGCCTGTGCGCGGGAGGCTTCCTGGCAGAGTGGGGTGCTTCCGGGAACTTACTGGTGGAGCTACCCAGCTTTGGAAAACTTGCCCCAGCAGGGCAGATGCAGGCGTGAGGCCCGAGGGCTGAGAGGCCACAGGAAGCAGAAGCTGAAGAAACAAGGAACACAAGAAGCCAAGCTGCCTCAGTCTCAAAAGGTATGGCCATGACCTCAGGGGTTTCAAAGCGTGGAGCCATGGCCTCTGGTGCTTCTTAGGGTAGAGTTGTCACTCCGATGAACTAGGAGAATGATTTGCCTGAAGCTGAGGGAGCAGAGTTGCCGTCCCAGTGGGCCTGGAAGGTCGAGCTGAAGCCCAGGGCCAAGGGGCCTCCACTCAGAATCCAGAGACTGTGGTCAATACCTGGAGTCTGGAGGGCAGGACTATTGTGTAAATTGTCTCAGAGAACAGAAAATTATTTTCAAAGCCTTGAGGGCTAACGTAATGTGTTCTGCTGACTTGTTTGGAGCCTGTTATCCCTTCTTCTCCTCCAGTTTCTCCCATTTGTAATGGAAATGCCTAGCTTGTGCCTGTTCTGCCATTGTACCTTTAGAAGCAGACAACTTGTATTCTAGATTTCACAGATGAAGAGGAATTTTTGGATTTTG